GAGTCCATTCGGCCAAGCCACCATCGACCGCCACTGTCCTCGTTTCCGCCGCTAACTTGGCCAAGCCGTCATCCCCGCCGAGAACCCCGCCGCCGGTCCACCACCGTCGGCCGTCCCGTGATCCACAAACCCAATTCGGGGTCAAGCTCGAATTTGGAAGTTATCCGTAAATTAGGTAAGAAACTTTATCCGATATCGTTTCAAATATTTAAATTCCTAATTTGAGTGATTTTGCTATCTTTGGTTGGTCGGCAGATATATTTGAATGATGCATGTCGCATCCGCAAGATTTTAAAATATCCTAAGTTAGGGAATTTTCCTAACTTAACAACGTGCATGGACGACTATCCGATCTCAATCATGAGATACGATACTCGGCGGCATGGAAAATTTTTATTCTATTCATAACCATTTGGATACAATAAGAGATTTTATAATATTTCCAAATTTAAGCGAATAGCCTCCTATCGATATTCATAACCACATGAATATGATCGTTGGTTTATATCGTTTTCCTAATTCAAAGATGATACAACAAATCTTGCGGATTGCATGGATTGGTTTCGACGGTGGTGGTCATTCGGTTGTTTGATTTCGTTTCTTTTTAAAAGAAAATCCCAAAAAATTTTAGTTAGGATTTGAATTGATTTTCTTAGAAGATAATTATGCATGTTTAGGATGTGTCTAAATAACTTTTTTCGAATAGAATAGGATAACCTAGATATGCTAGAAAGATAGGATAATTTTCCAACTTAAATTAGGATTCAAAGTAATTTACTTCCTAGTTTAGGTTAGATATTATTTTAATCTTGATGGTTTATTTAGGGTGATTTCTAATTTCGAATTTTCATAAAAAAAATACCCAAAAGAAGTCATTTTAGGATAGATTAAATTATCTTTTCTAGGATAGATTGCATATAAGTTAGGCATTTTTTTTAATTCCGAATTTGATTGAAAAACACCAAAAAATACCTCATTTGCCCGTCATTAGAGTTAGGTCATTTAATCGCATGTTCTAGGTTTAATTAATTGCATGTCATAATTTGCACGTCATAGCACGTAAGTTAGTTTTCATTTAATCAAGAGAAAACCCCAAAAAAATAAATTGAGTGAATTACTTGTTAACTAGAAATCATATTAGGAATGTTGATGTGATTTTCTAGCTAACAATGCAGATGTTTACGTCGCTTTGAGGTAGATTATTCTCCTAATCTAGCAATTTATTTATTGCTTTTATTATTGGATGTTACTTTTGTGGTTTGCGCACCCGCATGGTCACCTCACGTGTTAGTGACTAAGTTAAAATGAATCAAAGCTGCCTGCTCAAATGTTTTTCATGAAAAAAAAAGGTACCGAAAGGGCATTAGAGTAATCTAGCGTAATCAAGTCCCCGTACTCACAATCTCTTGTTCGTAGGAATAAAATATATATCTTCCTATACTTTATTTGTGTTTCTAATCGACCCACCATAAATATATTAGTGGCGACTCCGCTATGAAAATCATTTGCATGTTAATAACTTGAACTTTAAGTCGCGAATTGATAGGGTTTGAGAGAGCCCGAGTTAGGTTTAAACTTAATAATTCATTAGCCGAGCCCCTAGGTGGTCCCACCCACGGGAGGTGAGGTCGCGACACTAGGATAACATTTTTCGTCTACTCATTTTCCTAAGCGATTCAAATGTCGGAAAATAAGGAAAATATTTTTTTGAAAAAAAATTTCGCGAAATAAACGGAGCCTTAAGTGCACTAAACTTCTAGTGTACTTTTCTCCATAGAAGCCTACTTTTTGAAGTTTTTCCTATTAGTAAAGGGGTGGGAATGGGCATTTATTTTTTTTTGGTTGGTAGGCAAAATTTGTGTACTGGTATCAAGTTATAGGACCCAAAAGTACATAATCAATAAATTTTGGGAATTCCAAACAACAGTTTGCTCCTAGCCCTCGATTCATCAGCCTCGGTGCTTCTCCCCCTTAATTGGCCGAGTGACTTGTCAGCCTAGGATCTATTACTTCTTTTATGAGGTTATGTGTGGATTCACATGATTTTCATTGTGATTATTTCATGGCCAGTACTTGATACTTTTCATCGATTTAGTCCATTTATTCAATTTACTCGCACTTAAGATCGTGATTTATACCAGTAAATTCATCTAAGTGATGACTCGCCTTTTTCGAATACTGATGTTTAAATTCATAGAATTGGTATGTACAACACATATCATTTGTCAAGTTGAGTCCGCAAATTAAATTCAACAAACGTTCCGTTTATTTCGCAAAAAATGAATGGTGTGAATAATATTTTCCTAAAAAGTAAAAACTATGGTTATATTCCCTTACCAAAAAATGAAAAAAAATATATTTTCATCCTCCACGAAAATATTTAAACATAAATTGTTGTCGATAATGAAAACACTTTCCATCAACTCATTATTTTCAGAGATACAAACTATCACTTTTAAGAAAATATTTTTCAAATTATTTAATTTTCGCGAAACAAACAAAGTCAAAGTATTTTTTTCCTACTATGAATTATGAAATTGAGTATTGACATGTCCTAGAAGAAGATATTGTGAAACGAACTTGGGCCCGTCCATTTAATCTCCCTTAATGGGCTTTGTTGGATCCTAGACCATACATAATAGTACACAAGCCCAAGCCCACATTTAGGGATGGGTCTTTTGGACCGGATCTAATATTAGGAGTCCTAAAACTTGTGCTGGTTCAACACTTTGGTTCTAAAATCATTTTTTTTGGCAATTCTGTCCTAAAATTTATTCCGAATTTGCACTTTAGTCCTTCTACTAGGTCTATTTGTTTTTTGAGGGTGAAAAATCCATATTGTCTGTTTTTTTTTTTTATCAATTTAACACTAAACCACATAAGATCGAAGAAATTCTAAAAAGGCCACATGAGATTTTTCATTCATAAAATGAAAACAGATCCTACATAAGTGTATAAAGTGTGTAAGTTTTAGGACTAAAAAGGCCGAACCAACACAAATTTTAGTGCTCCTGCCGTAGTTATCGAGTAACCTAAACTTTTATTCATCCGTTATGTTTTGGGCCAATATTCCTAGCATTATTAACGTTTTCTATTATTTCTCTCAATTAAGAGCCTCTCCTGAGCCGAATAAAACTTTAGTTTCGGTTCGAATATTATTCCAACCTTACAAAAATTGAAGTCTATGTCTCTACAATTTGCAAGCAGTTTGTCCTTACGAGTTCTTGCGATTGATTGCTTCGTAAGAAGTTTTCGCACATTTTTTCTTTTGCTGCTCCTGCATGTTGAACGTTGCATTAATCAAAGGACGCTTGCTTGGAAACTACTTCACCCCTTCCTTTATCTCCCACGACCTCTTTCCAAGATTTCTTACCTTGGTTTGAAGGTATAGGAAGACAGAAAAGATGCGAATCAGTTGTTCGACCGCCGGCTGGCCATCTTTTTAGATCAGCGGAAATTATCTCATCGGATGCATTTAGGCCAACGCTTAATTAGCTAATGAAGTTCATTGCTTGATATTGTCAAAATATCTAACTAATACTTAGGTAAATGAAATCGCAACAAGAAGACCAAAAGACACAAGGATGCATTTGTTTCGCGGAAAATAATTGATTTCGAAAATATTTTCCTAAAAATGATCGTTTGTATCGCTTACAAAAATCAATAAAAGAAAAGTATTTTCATCGTCCACTAAAATAATTAGACATAAATTGTTGCCGATAATAGAAACATTTTTCATCGACTAATTATTTCTAGCGATTATTTATAAAAAAATATTTTCTAAATCATTCATTTTCCATGAAACAAACGGAGCCAGAACATGAAGGTGAACTCTAGCACCGATGAAAGGTCATTCTTGCTTTTGATGGTAGAGTCTTGAGAACACGATCTATTTTATTTTATTTTTTGGTATGAAAAAGTTTAGGAGGAGGGGAGATTATCCCATGCCAAGGCCAGGGCACACCATAGGCCTAGAATTTCTTATTGTGAATTTATAGATCGCCTATCAAAGGGGACTGCTGGCAATAGGATTCGAATATGAGCATGGTGTGAGGAGAGTTCGAACCTTACTAGCTAAGCCAACCCACTTTGGCAACAATCTATTTAATTAAAGGCCACAATCAATCAACCCAAAATAGAGGGAGTAAGTCTCTTTCGATGGTCCCGATTATATTTGTGAAAAGATTGCAAGTTGAGAAAAACCCTAATGACCCACCTCAGGTAGGAGAGAAATATGTATAACACAAGTTGGGTTTGACAATCATGTGAAATTTTGTGGGCTCTACATATGAATTAATAACTGAGATGTTCTGAATTTTTGTCTGGGAAGCTTCATATCGTGTAATATAATGTATTATCATATAGGACTCCAATTTTTAATATGTGTCTCTGTGTACACAATATATATGCAAAAAATAATCTCTGATTCCTAAGAAAAAGAGATTGCAAATGGATACTTAGAGCTGGTAACTACAATGCTACATATAAACGGGCCTTGCATATTTTATTTTTTTGTTATTCTTGCTTTTCATGAACTTTGTTTCTTCTTTCCCTCCTTAGTAATAACAACAATTAAACTATCCTCCGATTAGAAGTCGTGAGCCATTCGGATCTTCTGATTCACACACCCCAAAAGGCAAAATGGAAAATTAATGAGAAACCTCCTAGTGAAGCCTGCTTTTTCAACATGGAATATTTCCAACTTGTGCGTGCGACCCACTTTAGTCCAAAGAACTTGTTGAAATCGTTTTCCTTTTCCACGTCATCACTCCTATTGTCTGGGCTTTCCAAAGGTACCGATCTATCTAGGATTATTATTTTTAATTAAAGACAACGCAAACCGTAAGGTAATTTCCTCCTTACCAAAAAAAAAAAAAACCGTAAGGTAATTTCCTAGTAATTATACTTCATTGCAAACTTTAAGGTCTAAAGATATTACAAAGGGAGCTATAGGGCAAACTATCCACGATCAACACCAGCACAAGTAGGCCCTCCACTCCACTAAAAGTGTTATAACGGACCAATACACAAACCCTCATATAAATACACCCTCGAAGTCATCACTTGCCATTCAATCTCACTCTTTCTCATCCCGCATTGTCGGATTGCCTCCATTATCACGAAGAGCTCATAGCAGAGAAGAAAGAAAAGAAGATAAAGGCAATATCAAACACTTGAATCGTTACTCCGATAACCAGGAAAAGAGCAATGGCGACCAACCCTCGCCGGAGAAGAAAGATCGTCACCTATGTCATAGCCGGCGTGATAGCACAGACCGCCATCATCCTCCTCTTCGTGCTCCTGGTGATGCGTATCCGGAACCCAAAAGTCCGGCTCAGCTCCGTCACCGTCGAAAATCTCAAGCTCAACACTTCGTCCACGTCGCCTTCCTTTGGAATGCAGCTCCATGCACAGGTCGCCATCAAGAACACCAACTTCGGCCACTTCAAGTTTGACAACACTACTGCGACAATCTCCTATCGAGGCGCTGCCGTCGGAAGTGCCGATATCATGAAAGCCAAGGCGAAAGCAAGATCCACAAAAAAGATGAACTTGACAATGTCGGTTAGTTCTAAAAACTTTTCGTCGGTTACGCAGTTTAGGAGCGACGTCAATTCAGGGATCTTGACGTTGAATGGACATGCCAAGTTGAGTGGAAAGATTGTGCTGTTCAAGGTTTTCAAGAAGAAGAAATCTGCGGAAATGAACTGCACAATGGACGTGGATACTAAAGCCAAAGAGATCAAGAACTTGAAGTGCAAGTGAAATAAAATGCATACAAGGCATAGTCGTTGTAATTTGCTTTTTCTTAATTATTTTCTTTCTTGTTCGAGTCAGTTGGATTCTTCGTTTTTTTTTTCTTTTGGGGTTTTGCAAGTGTATGCTATGCTTTTTCTGTTTATGAAGAGGGATATTGTCGATTGGCCTCACGTTTGCATATCCTGTTGTGACATGAATATGTTGTTCTTATCAGTTTGAATTCAGCTTCTCAAGACCATTTAGGATGTTCTTAAGAACTCGAAATATACTTCCTCTTGTGAAACTTCACCGCCTTGAGTACTCTTGTGGCAGGGCTTGACTCACATGAATCGGATCAAACCATTTCAATTTCCAGAATTCATTGATCATGCTAAACTTAGATGCACTTGTGCAAATGTATGTAACTTATGTCGTGCATTAGCCGCTTTTTCGTTCATTGTATCGATCAGTGCACAACATTTCCAACATTACAGATGGCTTGTATGTGATTTACCTAGAAAGGAAAAATTGTAGTAAACCTACTTTACAATTCTTTTCCCTCAACCAGTGTAATGGGGTACGGTGAACTTTGTCATTGTTAGGTCATAGCATGGAAGATGATCAACTAAAGCTAACATGTTACCGTTAGCTATATATATATATATATATATATATATTATAACTTACCTTTCGAACATATATATCACGATGCTGCTTTTCCATTCCAAAAGAAGATTTCTAAGCGGGAACGTTATTCCCCATGAAAGTACTGAACTGGGGGAGTGATGCTTTAGCTTATTTTAAAAAAGAAATGTTAATAAGATCTTTGCAAATCAATGGCAATCGTCGTCTATCAGAAGACAATGATTTAAGAAGCAAGTTGAGGGTAATATACTGTCGGTGTTTCTGGGTTCCCCACCTGACCAGATTCACGTGGAAAAACGTGAAAGCGAGGGCCAATCTTCGGTTGGAGTTCTCTCTCTTCCACTCATCATCACTAGCTGGACAGCGGAAACTGAAATGCTTTGCTTGTATTGGAGTTCAGAAAAATTGGAAAAGGAGAAACGAAAAAGTGCAGACAGAGACATACCATGATGCTAAAGACCTCATAAACAGCAAAGCAGATTATCCCTTTTACAAGTTGCGTTCGTAGATGCTCGTGACAGTTCTCTCTTTTTCCCTCCCTTTATTTGTGCTTCGAACAAAGGTTTGTAGTCGCGAACCACCATTGCATTTTCCTCATTGGTCAGCATACTTTTTCTATTTCAACGGTCAGGTGGTATTCAGATCAATTTTCGCGCATTTCAACCAATCCACTTTAGCGTAAGGCGCACTTGGCATCAGCATGGTGGAATTAGAATTATAATCTTAGAGTGCTCCTAATAAAGCTCGTGGACGCAAAACCACAAGAAGAGAAGCAAGCTCCTTTGCCATTTAAGTTGGTCACTACCATTGTGATGCCAAATCAAACTAATGCACCCATAGAATAGGGTAAGAGACTTCAATTTTTAGCGAACAATCTTCCGCTAATTTGAGAGTTTCTTTTCTAGTAAGACAGTTCGAAAATTGTCATCAATTGCTAATTGTATGCAAATGCATTTTATGTCGGTGGAGGAAATATTTTCTTGGTCGTGTTGAAGTCGAACATAACGAAGCAAAGTCAAAATGGATGTGGAATTGATGTTGATAAAAGGCAACTTCTACCCATTTTACAATCAAGCATCTAAATTTTTCTTTTGACAATCAAATACCTCAGAGTAAGCGAATTACACTCGTGCCTCTGTTAAATTCATGGACGGAACACACTAATAACCACTAATGCGGCTCTAACGTCGTTAAGTGACCGTCTAATATGCTTACGTGGTCTCCACATGTTCGCCAATCATCATCAACCACTCCCGTCAGCCGCCAGCCAACGCCGCCGCCGCCACCACCCACAATTACCATTACGAGGACCGCCATCTGCCTGGAAGTTGTGCAACCTCTGGATCTATCGTGCGGAGGCCATGCAACTCCAACTCGAATAGCCCTTTGCGATTGGATAGTTATGGCCATTAAAATGCCGACATCTCAATGGTGGCAGCAGATGGAGGAGACGACGGCAAGAATTGATTGGGGGCGTACCAATTAAGAAAGAAGTGTAATAAGAAAAAGGAAAGAAATGAAAAAAGGGAAAGAAAGAAGGCAACACAAAATCATGTGTCGACTTGGAAAAATGAAATGACATGACTGTCTATGTCGTTCTTTTGACCTTATATATAGACCACCTCAGTAAAAATTATGTGAAGTGGCGCTCAAGTTAACAGAGATCTCACGTTGATTAACATTTGAAAAGTTGTGTTGCTCGATTTAAAAAGAAAAGGTAATTGATCGTAAAATGAAGAAAAATTCAGATGGTTACGATGTTGTTCCTCACGAATTAATAAATGCGAAACAATGGAAGTTTCAAATATTCCACGCTGCAAATTTTCCGTTTCTTTTGTCTTCGTGATTCTTGGCCCCGATACTTTGTCCTAGGCTTGGCTTCTTAATCTTCTGATGGGCTGGGCTGGGCTGTTCTACCAGATTCAGGATCGTCGGTCCACACTTAAGAGGCCTATTTACGTAGAAAATAAATGTCAACATCAAAAAAGAAAATAAATCAAACACAATTGCTAGAATGAATCCGTAATTCGACATATCAGCTGGAAAAAATGGATGATTCTACAAAAGCAAAAATTTGACACCGGTCACAAAAAAAAAAAAACGGAGAGAGAAGGAAGATGTGTCCCCGGAAAATGGTAACTTCGTGGTTTTAGATATGGGGTTAATACCACGAAAAATTTCAAATTAGTACACATTTGATAAATTTACCCCAAACTAATTTTTCGACCACCAAAAATTCCAAACTGGTACATCTGTGACAATTTTACCCTCCATTAGTTTCTGTTAAATTTTACTGTCAAATTTATGAGTTTGATAATACGTGACAATTGATAGGTGTACCATTTTAGGGTTTTACCCTCCGTTTGTCACAGGTGTACTGATTTGTGATTTTTCGTGATATTAATTTAATTTAACATAGGGTAAATTTGTCACAAATATACCAGTTTGGGGTTTTTCGTAGTATTAACCCTTAAATATGCTACGAGGAAATTTGTGTTGGACTTCTTTGCACGACTCAAATGCTCTGGACTCAAGAGCAGCCTCTGGTGCAAATCTCTGATTCAATTGTCCAAGCCGACATATTATGACTTTATGAAACAGTGATATCACATGACATGTCGATGTGATCTACGAAAATCTACGAAGTGTTGACCTCTAATTTTTAGCTTATTTTTTCAGATTTTTTTAAAAATCACAAAATTAGAATTAGGAAGCTTGTCCAAGCCCGGGAACCTATTTCTAAACCAAAAATATTTTTTAAAAAAAATTTCCTGAATTTTTCCTTAATTTCTTTTATTCATAATAATAGAGAAAATCAAGAAAAATAGCAAATGGAATCCAAAAATTCCATAAAAATATTCATTAGTCTTCTTTTAAATCCAATTTCATTAATATAGTGTCGATTTTATAAAATTTCAATTGAGAATATGTTTTTTCCCAAAATTGGATAAAAACAAGTCCAAATTGAATCAAAAATTCAATTAATTCATTTCTAGTCATTTTTCAATTAGAGTGTCTTCACAACAAATGATTCTAGAACCTTGAATTGCATAATGGTCGGTCCAATTGCATAATTTACTAAAGAAATGGAAAAGTCCCAAAATCCGATTGAAAATTAAAGATTTTTAGCCCAAATTGGGGATCATTATCAATTTGAAGTTGTCGTACCATGAGACCGTCATTTCTAGGGTTAATCAGTCATGGGTAATCCAATTTTGGCATCAATTTTGCCCAATCAGGTCATCTAAATGTTAAATTGAACAAAAACCATAATGATCCGAATTTACAATTTGAGAATTTTGGGTTTAATCGTGACAAAAATTAGGGCGAATCTCATATTCGGGTGTGAAATGTGATGAGGAATCCAATTTTAGGATTAAAATCGAAAAATAGGGTCAAAATCGGGTCGAATTTGCAAATTTAGACCAACCCGGGTTTGCCGGGTCGGACGGATCGACCCGACCCAACTCGGGTCGGCCTTCTTCCTCACCCAACTCACCCAGAACGTTCTAAACCCAGAAAAATATCCCGTGCCCGCCTCTTGATCGACTTAATCCAGCCAAATAAGCACGTGTAAATATCCGATTCCAGCTAGAGAATCTCTAGCTGGCATCGAAGATTCGATTTAACCAATTTGGAGTCGGTGATAACCAATTTTGGGCGGGAAATCGAGCTACAAAAGAGAGGAAAAAATCATTATCCAAGAGGGGGAACCTATTCGAGAAAATTCCTGAAAGAAAGGGAGATTTCTAAAGAAATAGTGAGTCGAGGGTCCCAAGACCGGGTGATCGGCCTAAACGGTGAACCTCCTCACCGGTGAACTTGTGTTGAAGCTGGTCACATTGGCCTGAAAGTCAAGCTCGGCCGGCATATCCAGACGTTCTCCGACGAAGCCGAGGCCACCTGCTCGGAGTGTAAGTGCTAAAGAAGAGTTCTACAGCCGCGGATTCACTCAAAAACTTCATTTGATCTCTAACGAAGCAGCTAAAGTTCGTCCATAATCACAGTTCTACAAAATTCCAGAAGATGAACTTGAGTTCAATCTTGCTAATCACGTGATTTCTTTTGTAACTTTGAGTTCTTTGATGATCAAAACATGTTTCTGAACATTTTTTTGTTATTTAATTGCATTTTGATGGTTAAACCTGCATAAACCGAGTCGGTCGTTCATGAACCACCTCGGCGAAGCTTGCACATCCTTGCCAGAGTGTTCCCCATGGCCATAAGCCATCCAAGTTAGCTTTTTCTCACCTTGTAGACGGCTAGAGCGATCTATATGAGAATTCGTGAACTTAAATGGATTGTTTGGGTAAGTTTGCAAGTTAGGTTTTTTTTATCGGTTTTTCACCAGCCGACGACGAACTAGTTAGGTTAGATTGATAATAGGTGATACGAACTCTTCATTAAACCAACTGAAATGGTTAAAATCTCACCAAAAGGTCGTCGGCGGTGAGCTTAAACCGATGGTCTTGATAACAATAAACCCTGAATCATGCACACTAGGTGATCAGCGAAATGCCGAAGAGAAAAAGTGCAAAACGGCGCCGTTTTGGTGTCGTGCCCGTCGGAGAGTCGGCTGGCGACGGCGATGCCTGG